AGGAACGAAGACTTCTAGAATTAACATGCAAACCAAACAGATGTACAAGATCACAACTAAAGTACGAGTTAACACATTTATAGAGAAAAACCATATCGTGAAATAAAAATCTATTCCTAGGACACATTAATTTACAAGGACGATTAAAACATTTTTCAAAAAACCTAATAAACTTAAGATGCATCCTATCGATGCAAATTAACTGAGATTCGGATGCTGAACTAAAAATAACACAGCAATATTCAAAATGAGAAGTAACTAAATAACGATATACGGCAATAATGGCACCAGGGCTATTTATTTCTCTACAATGTCTCCAAATAAACCCAAGGATTCTGTTTCCCTTACTAACTTTTTCTAAAACAATATCCCCAATTTTATAAGGAAAATATAAAGGTTTTAATTTAAGAGAAACAGACATTGATTTACATTTGGAGACATTGAGAGAAAGACCCCAGTGCCGACTCCATGCAACGACAGCATCAAGATCTTCCTCTCAGTCCCGACAATACGATACAGCTTCAGATCATCAGCGTACATAAGGCAATGTGAGTTGTTGACAAAATAAGGAAGATCATTAATGAATAAATTAAAAAATAAAGGACCAAGGATAGACCCTTGGAGGACGCCAGATGGAACGGGTTTGGATTTAGAACAAAAACCGTCAATAACCACACGTTGACTGCGATTAGAGAAATAATCAGAAATTAAGCTAAGAAGGGGACCGGTGATACCAAATTTTTGAATTTTATAAGAGACAGCACTAATACAGGTCAGAACTGGTTCTTCAGGTGTAGGCACTGTTAGTAAAAAAAAAGCTTTTACATTTATATAGAGATAAAAATACATTTTGGAATCAAAACCATATTTTTATTATTATACTCCCTACCTGGAATAAACCCGTGTTGAAATGAACTTAAAACAGGAGAAACATGGGAAAAAATTTGATCAAAAAGAATACGTTCAAATATTTTGGAAAGAGACGGGAGCAGTGAAATGGGACGGTAATTGATCTTATGCCTACCATTGTTTTCCTGAATCATTGAGGCTTCTTGCACTTCATGACCGCAAGGGAAAGGCGCAATATAAATACCCAATACCAGTACCAGTACCATGTTTGGTGTTAAGGATACAAGAAAGTACCTTGCATTTCTCGGTTAATATCTGAAAAATTAGCTCTAATTTTTCAAAATGCGGGTCTAAATTTTGTCAAATAAAATACCATCCCTATAAATTATTTTATTTGAAAATAATGTTATTGTAAACATAAACTCCAAAGTAAGAGACTCTGGCCTGCTTCAGGTTTTGGAACCTTTACAGGGGCGGATCCAGGATTTGAAAGAGTGGGTTTAAAATGTTCCAAAAACCGAAAATGAAAGGGAGGTCCTCCCACAGGAAAATTTTGATTTCTAGATGGCCGGAAATGAGCTTTCCCGACTTCTGAGGTGTCTTTTAATGACCCTCTCTTAAAAAAAGGTCAGATGATTTTTATCTCATCCTTAGAGATAGAGAAAAAAAAATAAACAGACATAGCCACTATATATTATTATATTATATTCCAACAATATTGAGTAGGCCTAGTTGGATACATAGTCTTTTTCCATGGATTAATGAACGATAGGCATGAAGAACGCACTTTTGTATATAAATTTGTATGACATCGAAGCAAAAACAGTGTTTTTAATATAATTTAATTGAAAGCTAGTTGGGCTAAGCCTAATTTGTCTGATCTGCTAAATGACCTATGGTCAATGGTCGTATATTTTTATAGCGCCTTCCACAGAAAGGCGCTTTTGAAGCCACAAGAAACAAAGATAAAAGGACGCGAAGTGGTAGGTTAGCATGCATTTTGTAAGCCAGGACCAGTAGTATTTTGTTGTTTCTTTACAGAGGGGGGTGTTTGTCCGAACCTCTTAACCCCCCCCCCCCCCCGCCCCCCCCCCCCCACCACTGCTTTACCTTTACCTTCAAACATAAATCAGAACCATCCAAGCTTGACTTGGCATTCTGTCAATCAGACTTACACCCAGTGGCAGCGCGAGCGGGGAGGCAGGGTGGCTTAAGCCCCCTCACCGGACAGAGCTCGTTGGGCTGTCAGACCATAAAACATATACAAATAGGGCCACACCAAGCCAACACATGTCTGTCACAGTCTGAGAGTACCATTTCCGGCCATCCAGAGGTTGATATTCTTAAAAAAAATCTCATTTGGGAAGGGGAACCCCCTCCAGCTCGAGCCTACGAGCTCAAGTCCCCCTGACGGACAACTTAGCGCCCCCCCCCCCAGAAAATATATCATAGAGCCGCCACTGCTTACACCCTCTTCCTCAGACTATACCAAAATGAGAAATTGGTTGTGGATTGGGGGCGGATTTATACAAGAAACAAACAATGGTTATAATGTTCTTTTCTTCAATCCTCAAAGTGATGCTATTAAAGACTGTCCAGTGGCATCACTCTCGGGCACTTAAGGGTGGCGGAGCGCCAGGGCCCGACATTATGGTTTTAAAAAAATATAATACCGTATAATCTATAATACCATAGTTTCATTCAATGGGGACCCGACAGTTTTAATTAAACATTGATTATACTCTGGGCTGGCTTCATCATACAGAAACCGCATTATCTCAGAAGTTTCTGGACAAAACAGCAATAAACCAAAACGGAAAAAAAAAGCCAAAACGGTAATGACAAAAATGGGAAAAAACCAAAACGGCAATAATTCAAAACCTCAAGACCAAAACGATGCTAAACAATTTGTCATAAAAAGTAAAAACGCGAAAAAATAGACTAATTATAAACAGAAAGTGTACTACGATTATTACAGTAAAAATAAGGCTAAATAGTAGCCGCAGTAACAACAATAATAATAATAATAATAATAATAAATCATACAAATTCAATATTAAAAAGATTGGGGGGGGGGAGCAATATAAAAGCAGTAAAACATTTTAAACAAATAAAACTTTCAAATACAGACAAAATGAGGCTAAACAATTTATGTCATAAAAGTAAAAAAATGCGAAATGATAATAATGTGTGGGGAAATGGGCCCATGGCAATATTCAGTTTGCCTATCTGGACAATTTTAAAACTATTCCCGAAATTATAAACTGTGGTCCGCACCCGCTTGCGCTTGCTAGGCTTGGCATTGATTTTGTTCCTTTGCCATTTTGGTCTATGCCGTTTTGGTACTTCTCATTGCCGTTTTGGTACTTCTCATTGCCGTTTTGGTTCATTACCGTTTTGGTTTATTGCCGTCTTGACCTGCTACCATCTCAGGGCTCATCTAAACAATCGCTGCTTTTTTTTGTTCATGTTGCGGTTTGTTTTGCGAACCACATTTTATCAATGTCACACGTGACACCAACATGGTGTCTTTTGATTTAAAATGCTTCAACCTGTCATATTTCTTATCATGTTTTTGTACTCAGCAAAAGTTGGCCTATGTAATCTAGGCCTATATTGGTTTTGTCATAAAATTGGGCTTATTCGACTGGTTCATTTAGTTCAGTACGAATTTTCGTTGCATATTATTTTCATTTGACTAATAGACTTCGTTGACAACGAAAACTAACGTAAGCAGAATGCATTAATCAGCGTAAAGTTATGCTCCCCCACTAGGCCCCCCAACCCATTTTAAGACTCCTAGATATGCCATTGAAAGTTCATAAACGCCTTAAGGTCTGAGCGCGAGGGGGAAGCCACCTCGGACCCCCACCAGGGCCCTTCACCCCCTGGACCCTGATCGGGGGCTCTACGTGGCCCCCCAGTGTGTGTTTGTTCGCTCCACTCGCTAACTTAATGCTCGCCATTAGGGCTCCCAATAACAGTCACCGCCAGGACCCCACAAACTCTGACGCCACTGAGACTGTATTGTATCAATTTAACTTTTCATTTGTCTTACAGGTACATATGTGGTGTTATGTATTTTGGGACTTGGTATAATTGTTTTGATACTTGGTAAGTTTTATATGTATCATAAGAGAACTTCACTGAAAATCGTCAATGCTGAGTGTGACATCCTTGTTAAATATTAAGTATAGAAAGAAAGACCGACTCCACATTCAAGCTGTAGCAGTGGAGCACCCAAAGGACAGGTCAATCCCTTCCTGAAAATTAAAGTAAATAAATAGTTAAATTAATAAATAAATAAGTAAATAAACCAGGCTAGCCTTATACTGCTCTTTGAGTCTGTCTTGATGATGTGTGTCATGAAAATGCAGATGCAGGCCTGCCAAACCCTGCTGAATAGGGGGTTAAAACCTGATAGTTTTAAAGTAAAGATATTTTTTTTAAAGAAATGTAAAGATTTAAAAAAAAAAAAAATGTCACTGTACCATCTTGTGTATAAGACAAGGATTAAAATAACATATTGCGATTAAAATCAGGGGGTTGTCTTAAGGCCAACTCAGACAGCGTCGGCCGACGCAGCCCGACCCGATTTATCGTCGGGGACAGTCTTAAGCCGTCGTGAGAAATATTAAACATGTTTAATATTCTACTACGCGACTGCCCCCGACGCACACCATCGTGTCTGCGTTCAACTCACACAGACCCGACGCGACAACTAATCGCGTCAGGCTGCGTCGGCCGACGCTGTCCGAGTTGGCCTTTATACGCACAACATACAATTTCTTTTAATCATGTTCGTCATATGTGATCGTCAGTAACATGTGAATTTACTACTGCAATGAAACCACTAATTGTTAGTTTGAATGAACGCAATTTTTAATACGAGGAAATAAGATTTCTAATAACCCTTGAAAACTCATAAAATAATATTATTTAGAAGAAAAGCCTTCCATTTGACTCCATATTAGCCAGCTAGATGCAGTATCAAGATCATAATAAGCAGAAAAAGTAGGAATTCCGATGATGAAACGGGGTCATCTTGTACGCCCAGCATACAAAAATTATCTTGGGGTCGTCTTATACACAGGTCGCCTTATATGCGAGTATATGCGGTATGTTATTTATTCTTTTTATGATTACTTGTCGCTTTATTCACACAGTAAAACCAAGATGCAACCTAGATAAAATTTAATTTAAAATGATACTACGGTGGTTTAAACAGCTACGGTATATAAATCATGATTTCTTGCTCAATTAAATTCCTAATGGTACTGGGTTTGGTCTACAGGAGTTCATGCTTCAAACAGTCATTCATAGAAAAAGCCTTTTGATTGAGAAAGTGTACCTTTTTAGCAAGGTTCGCCTAGCTGCGCCGCTATGAACAATACTGTGCGGGTGAAAGGTTGTAATAATCAACCCATGATTCCATGATTAGTTCAACAAGTGACTCAATTCAATGCTGTACAATACAACATGGCCCTCTGCAATAGCTCCATAATCGCAGCAAATGCGACAAGCGAGTCGTTAAGCTTTCCCAAGGAAAACATTCCTGCACGGTAAGCGGTAAACACAAAGGCTTGATCTTTTGCTTCGCTGTACCAATACGATCTGTGGCTGTATCTACAACATATGTTCGGCCCAGATATAGTTCTTAGCATGCAATACAGTAATGCATATTGGTCGGCATTTAAAGCTAACTAGTTTTTTTAAAGTTTGAGAGTGTCGTATATGTGGGACTAGTCATGGGTCATTCAATTAAACTATCCTCTATTTTCCTTTCACATAGATTCACAATATGTTACACTACAATGTTTCAATGAGGAATTATTTGGATTTAGGCAAGGTTATCTTAATTATTTAAATTAAAGTCGACATAAAATGTTCATTTTGTGTGGTAACATTTTAATTAAAAAAAACTTTCAATATCCTAGTTGTCTCCAATATCGTAATTGTATATACACTTAGTTTTTCCGTCATGGCATTTTTCTTAATAAGCCATGACCCACACAAGTATGCTATGTACATTTTATTGATCTAATCTACGTAATTTACTTTCAGAGTTTATATATTAATTAAAATTGTTTTGATATTTATTTGAAAATATATTATGAAATAAATGTAATCGTTAAAGTTTATAATAATATTTGATAATATTTAAATAAAGCCACAAGATTGAAATATGTTAAATACAGATAATGTATACACAGGCCTAGTTCTGAAGTGCAGTTAAAATATTTGAATATGTATCGCAATGATATACTTATTTATATTTATATAAATAATTATGTTTAAATATGTATTTAATAAATTAAATTAAATTTAACGAAAATACAAAGCAAGCAAAGAGAAGCACAGAAAGAAAAAAGAATAAGAAAAAAATTTGGAGCAGCTGAAATATTTACCGAAAATAAACAATAATAATCATTTTGTCATCATTTCATCACATTTTTGTTAAAACTTGTTGGCACTAATTGTCAGAGGTCAAGGTGCCAGCAGCCTGCACGTTTCATATATTCGACAACGAACACAAGACATTATGTGATTGCCAGATTCTCTTTATATCAAAATAAACGTTTTAAAAGTTTGTTATTTAAATTTGTTTTTAATATAATGTGCGGTTAAAAAAAGGGTAGATTGATATGTTATAGTTCAACAGAAAAATTTCTTACCCTGATTACTTGTAAAAGTTGAAAAGTTTTCTATTTGAAAATGTCTAAGCCTTGTTTTTGTAATTCTGGCTTAGAAATAGTGGAATGAAGTATAAAAAGATCGTTAAAAATATTTGCGTGTCGAAGTAAATCTGAAGTGTGAAATGTCTGTGTGTAAGCGTAAAAGTCTTCATAACTCTATAAAGGCCCTCTCACATAGTAGCGAATAGACCTAACGTATGCCGAGCGTTCTCATTTTTTTTTCCTAAGTCCCGATACGCTCAAATACACTCAATTTTTTTTGGCAAAAAAGTAACATTTTTGCGTGAAAGACGAACGCCCAACGAATGAGAAAGGAATGCTCATTGTATAACTAGCGTCCATTTAACGAATGACAGCGCGTTCGCAGCGTTCGCCCAACGAATGTTCAACGTACGCAACGAATGCCCAGTGAATGTCACATGTATGCCTTACGGATTGACGCCTTGAAAACGTTGATGTAGGTCAGTATACGCTGAGTGTTCGCTGGCCATTTGTTAATCATTAGTTAGACAAACATTATGAATACGTTATGCATTTGCTATGGCCACGTTTCAGATGGGATTGAACGTGTTTGGACGAAACCCAACGTGCACCCAACGTGTGAAACGTTCAAACAACGAATGCTCACCGTATACATAGCGTATGTAGCAGAACGTTGTCATACTTTCAATATTTTGAACATGTCCAAAATTTAAAATTGACCTCAGCGTACCCTAACGAACAGCTAACAAATACAACGTATGCCAAACGTATTACGAACGTGTCACAAATGAATGTCAACTTGCGCGAAACCAATGCCAAACTTACGTAAACCAATATTTTGATAAACGTCGGCATACGTTTCAACTGACCCCTGTATTCTAACCGGGAAATGAGGGCGGCGGCAGCTGCTGTTATGTTGTAATGATGTTGTTTGTACTGTTCTTTAATGTTATTAAAGAGGGTCCTGAATATCAGTTAACCTACTGGGCTAAACTAGAAGGGTTACCCTCTTTAAAAATAAAAAAATAAAAAATAAATAAAAAAATTAATACCCACTCTGACCCAAGACCCCTGTTACGTGCCTGGTGTTAGCGCCCATATGTGCCCTTGTGCGGACAGGAGATGTGCCCCCCTCTGAAGCTGGAAACCTTGTTTTTGCAAAATAAATTGATGCAATTTGCTATTATAGGCCTAATCAATAAATTCCTCATCAATCGATATAACCTTAAACATTCTTGGAATTGACATAACATTACTGATGTCGTACACACCCTTCGGTGTGAAATGTGGCTCTCTTTGCCAGCACATCTAACATCTAAGGAAAGAAGAGCTTAGATTGGTACCAGATAAAATAATTTTGTTATCAACATTAATACATTATGCTAATTTTCATCTTTTTAAGCGCATAATACAGTGCAAATTATTTCTGTGACAGTCTTTTGAAGTGTGTAAATCTCCATTTTATCCCATACATAGTCAAAATATTTGGGGGGATGATACAATGGACCATCCCCCCTTGTCAAATATTGGGGGGATATATCCCCCCATCCCCCGGGATCTACGCCAATGTTTGGCCCTAATTGGACCAGGTGCCACCACTGCTTGGGAAGGTGGTAGCTTGTGAGGGTGGCAAACAGCCGCAATTGTGATCAACATTTTTTTTTTCTTTTTGATGCCGACGACCAAGACATGGCGTTAAATGCCAGGAGAATCCCCGCTGGCTCAATCACTGCTTAGGGTTGCAGAATGGCATTGTAGTTGGAACCCCCTCCCCCAGCATAAAAACTTTAAAGAAATTGAAATGTGTTAAAACAATACAAATATTATAATAATGTTACTCGGGGCTTGGATTGGATTTGCACATATAATTATAAAGAAGTATACATATCTTTTTTTTGGAGTTTTTTAAGGCAGCGGCGGGTGTAATAAAAATATATAAGAACTCTTCTGATTCTAAAATTTCCATTAGTTTATGGCAGCGGGTGCTCTAATTGGCCCAAAATAAAATTTTATTTTTATTTTAAATAATCATTATTGGCAGACAGCCTCTGATTCGCACGAATATATTCGGCAAGTGGAAAACCGGCTTTAGCCTCAACTCTTCCTAGGTGTAGGACTTGGTAAGCTATGCTAGGCCTAATATAATGTAGCGGACCTTGTCCCTGTCAATATGGCTTTGGGTTCAGCCAGAGCTGTGTGCCCTGGACTTCAGTGAATTTCCTAATAAACGAACTCAATATTCTCACTGCCAGTGAACCAAACTCTTTAATCAGTACATCAGATTCAGTAACAATTACAATTATGATCACTCACCCTTCATCACTACCACGTAATTGTGATACTACAGGACAGATAGATAGATTCTGTAACGGGTACCCTATCTAAAGCCGGTTTTCCATTAGCCGAATTTATTCGAGCGAATCGAAGGCGTCGGTTTGGTTCCTGAGCTCTGATTGGCTGCGCATTTTTTTTGCTTCGCAAAAAGTAGAAACTGTTCACTACCAATTTCACTGAAGTGAAACTCCAATAGAAATGTGAATGTGCATGTGCATGAATGACGCCTTCGATTCGCGCGAATATATTCGCCTAGTGGAAAACTGGCTCGATTACCGTTCAAGACGAATTCCCCAGCATCAATCTTGCCCTCCCCATAATTGTATTAATTTGCATATCTTGCCCAAAACAATGGGGCACTAGAGGACCAATCTAATTGGTTAAACTAAGTTTGGGCTGATCCACCTGCAGGTCAGCGTTCATTCGTGTAGTAGTGCGTGTGTAATCGAATTCCATGTGTTACAGTGTTGTATAATTGCATTCCCACACTCCTTTATACAATATTATTTATTGTAACTTTTACATTGTTTACTAATACTGTATAAATAAGATATCCCCTTTGAGATGCACCTCTCCCTTATTTTCCTCAATATCATGATTCTCGAAGGTGATCAAATAGATCTGAATGTTTAATCTTCCAAAATGTCTTTGTCTCTTTTTGTTTAAAGGATGTCACATTCTACTCTACAATGATGTCCCACTGTTAGTAGAAAAATGGTCTGTAATTTAAGATTTTCTTTGAGGTGTCATTCAGAATCTTTGATTAATTACTTTGTTAATATACTTTTATATTATTTTTTATGTTTTTTAGAACGGAAAGGAAGGAACAAGTGAGTATAAAAAGATTTTGTCTTTATTTACAATGAATTTTTGTTTTATCATTTTTAAATTTAGTGAATATTAGATATGTTGCATTTGTTGATTTTAAACAAATATTGCAAAATTCTGCCATGCATTAATTTAAGCATGGCAGTGTACTAACAAATTGCTGTCTTTAGGCCGTAGTGTTGCAGAATGTTGGCATATAATAACTAAAACAAAACATTAAAACACTGTAAGACCTTGAGTAGAAACCCTGGGCTTTTTATTTACCCTAGGATGATGTTCTTTTCGGAATTAATTTAATAAGAAGTGGGGTGGAGGACTTATTTAAAGTAAATGCTGTATACATTGGAATTGTAACTATAAAACCATACAGGACTACTGAAGAATTTTCCAGCCATGAAATTCGATATTCTCTTTATTAATTTTTTTTTTTAACTCACAAAAAGTAAAATAAAGGTACAAACATTTTTCCTGTTATACAGGAATCCGACCCAAGACCTTCCGACTACCGACTACCATTCGGATATTCTGCTAACTGAGCTATGAGGCCAAGTGGTATACATCCTTGGGTTTTCCCATTAGGACATGTTTCTTCTCAAGGTGTTGTGTAATACACAATAAATATTAATTTCATGTTATTCATTTACAATGTAAGTACTTTCTCAAAATGTAGCCCATACTATCTTGATAAGAAGCCCATGATCTTTTTGTGATGGCTTCACGGGATTAAGCCCATTGGGCTTCTGTTCAAGGTTTTACTATATAATAACAAACAGTGACAATAATGTTTTTATATAATTACTGTTGCCACAATGACTTCAACTCTTGGTAATAAATCTATTATAATTATACATGTACTAACTTACTATTGCTACTTGCTGCTGCTACCACTTGTTTTGTTGTATGTCATTGCTTTTGACAGATGTGTAATAGTTTTTATACAATATTAACTAATATTTGTTAACTCATGCCAACATTAAATGATATTAGATAGTAAATTACATCAGGTCATATTCTTTGTTAGCGCATATTACATGGTCTCTATATGCGCTGATGGGTGGTAGATGAGTTATTTTGTCCTAATCACATTGCCCACCACTTTCAATGACTGCACAGTTTTGTCACTATTAACCAGGAAGTAACTTTTTTATTACCTCAGTCAATAACGACAGGTAAAGTATCACGAATAACAAGTTTTTCGATATAAGTTTGACATAAATTGTCATTTTTTAGAGAATTATTCGGTGGTTTGTGCTGTTCCTACCTTATGGAAAAAATCTTCTTGTGTTGAAACCTGTAATAATCAAAGTAATCAGGATGAATTGCTACTTACAAAATCAAGCAAAATTTGTAAACACATCCACTCTCTTTGTACTAAAAAAATGTTCAAGATCCCTTCTGCTGAATTAAAATGCAGTAAGGATTTCAACTGTTTTGACCTTGAATGGCCTCTCTCATTGCGTCCTGAAACAAAAACTTTCCAAATTACTACCACAACATCAATTTTTTTTTTTTTCCCCCTTTTTTGCCAAGACCTTTGACTTGCACCCCAACTTCAAAACCTTCCTGCTCACTTTTTCACCATCTTCGAAGTCATATTCATCATAAGTCCAATCCTCATAATTATTATCATTGTCATCATTTTTTAAAATCTCTAAAATTTTAAGAAATCTATAAAGCCATCAATGAACCCCTAAGAATGCAGGTAGTGCTTATCCGAGCATCTGGAAACAATTACAACTTGCCAAATTACATCCATGCGTTCTTCCGCCTTTTATAACAAACTGTCCCGTTGATTGAACATTGACGATGAGTAAACTTAAAATTGAGGGTCCATTAAGACTTGTACCATGTCCTGAGAAGTCCGCAAATTCAAAAATGTTTAGAACCATTGTAAGGGAACCCTCAAACAGATAATTCTTAGGTAAAAAAGTATAAAAATATAGGAAATTGACTGAAGAATAAAAGTTTGACAGTTTTTTTTCTGCACCAAATTCTATTCATACTGTTGTTCATTTTCATAGGAGCTTATTCTGTAATATGTAAAATAACCTATGCAGTGATCTTGAAGCTACTGTAATCACTGTTCAACAATACAGTATCATAATTTAAAGAAACAATACAGTACATTCATTGTGAGCCTGATATGCTGTTTAATTAATGAGAAGATTATTTGAGTAACCAAGGAGGTATTATTTAATACCTCCTTGGAGTAACAAGCCAAGAAATGTACTAATCAGATTTAAGAGTTCATTGTGTTTAACCTACACTGCAATAGGCCAAATGACACACCATCAGACCCTGTTTGCCCACAAGATGATGTAGAAATGAAACAACCAGGAGAAAATTCAGAGATAAAGAGATATCCAGCAAGTGGTGGAGAACTGTACACAGAGGTTAACTTAAAGGATAAAAAGAAAAAGCCTGATAGCGACAACGAATCTAGTAAGCCTACAGCTGTTGACGTAAGTATACAGATGTTTGAGCTGAAGCCCCCAAAGTCATGTGTTATTGTGAATTTGTTTAGTATTTTAATGTTGAGGTATTTTCCAGTACATGCCAAGTTGAGTTTATATGTTCAGTGTGAGTTAAAATAATAAACATACAGTACTCTATGCATTACAATAATCTCTATGAAAGTATATTTAATACAATATTTATATTGCATACTTGTATATTTATGGGTAAGTTAGAATAAGAGAAAAACATTTTTTTTTTTCATAGATCCATATGCTTTGATCTGTATCATTTAGGTGTTAATAAACTTATTTGAATATATTAAATCAGTTTTTTAGGATTAAAAAAAAATATTCGATAGATTATATATCACAGTTAATATACCACCACAAATTAAAAACAGATCTGGTGGTTTTATAAACTTAGCAATCATAATTTTAAAGCAAATTTTCTTTTTATAAATTGAATATTGTATAGAAATAGGTCAAATATGTTGAATCAATTATCCTTTATTTTGAACAGGTTTAACAATCAGTGCAATGATTTGGTAAATAATATATTCCGAAATTGAAGTTTTAATAATAAACATTAATTAATTGATTTTCATTTATCAGTGAGCATGCTAAAACTACTATGATATGGTTCAGCAAGAGTTTTAGAAGTAGACAAATCCTAAGTTCAATCCTAAGTCCAATACTACTACTACGTGTGACTTAAACACTTTTTAAATTAATTGTTATTGGTTGCACATTCTAAATCAAATGACATTGCATGTTATTTTGAATTGCTATCCCTTTCCACTATTATAGTCATATTTGATTGAGGATGAAGAGGTGAGATCTCCCAGTAATCCAGTATCGTTTGAACAGTGAGTGAGGAGGATGATGATGATTGAGACAAGAGTGTACATTAAACCTTGAACTACAGTTAATTTTTGTGTTGGCCACAATTTTGGGAAAATCCAAAAAATGGGTAGGTTGGTAGGAAACCTTGGCCTCCTATCCTGGTCCAAGGCTATTTCAGCCTTATTAGCTCATGAAAAGCTCTTGTTTCTTGTAGTGTAAAAAAAATAAATAAATAAAATGCCTACCCTGAATTTCATAAAATTTGGGTCAGTCCGGCGTGGCCAACACAATTATTTTTTTTATTTGGCCTTAAACTTAATTGTTTTTTAAAAATTGATTTAATTAATAATTTTAAAACCTTTCACAACACAAAATTTGTTTACTTAAAAAGGAGTAGAAAAAAAAGGGGCTGGCCTCCGATAACTAAAACAGCGTCACTGTACTCATGGTTGCACGCAGGCAAACAGTTCGGCAACATGCTTAGCTCCGGTAGTTTCCACTATTCCACAGCTTAGCTACCATGCACTGCATAGACACATTATGCAAGCACGGTAAAATAAACTTTAAATGATTGTGAATTAATTGGCAGGGACTTGCTGCATGTTGCATTGTGATGTCTTGAATCCTCTGATTGTTGATTTGAAATGTTGGATTTATACTTACAGCCAATGATATGCCTGAGATTGTTGTTGACCTGCATGTGATGCATAGTTTGTGGAGATGAAACATGTACCGATGATGACCCATGTCAAGTATTTTCAGTTGTATCACCATGTATATTGCCAGATATGTATCAGATCTACCTAGTTTCATACATTTTGTGTGAGACTTATCAGAGGCTTATCTCAAGCTGTCACTCTTGAGGACCAAATCCTTGCACATAAAAGTAATATTTTGTGACAAAAAGAAAAAAAAATTGTAGGCCTATTGTAGCTTTCTCTGTATATTTGCAACAAACCGCCCTCTATACTTTGTATCTGAACATTGTTCTTTCATATTTTCATGATTAAACTACTGTAGCTGCACTAACACTATGACTAATTAGTGGCAGATCCATAAATTTTTGTTGGTGGTATGAGTGGTGACTGATACCAGTGATGTGAGGAGGTGGGACCAAGGTGTATTTTATTTATTTATTTTGCCTTTTTACTGCATGTACTTTCAGTACTTGTGTATTGTTTTTCAAAGTGGTACAGTTGCATAATTAAACAAATATTGAAAAGCGATGCAAGTAACATAAACATTCCTAAATATGTGTATACAATACAAATAATTAAGAATTAAGAGAGTTTTTAAAAGATAAAATAGTCTTGTCCATGAAATTAGTTGTTGTGTTATGTGGAAGATCATTCCGCTACTTTGTTGAACGATACAAAAAAGTTATTATGAGTTTGATAACGTGTACATTTAGAATGGGAATCAATATTGAAAGTAAATTTAGAAGATAGATAAGATGGAGTATACCCTTTTAAACATTTAAAAGTCATTAGGGCTAACTGATCATTCCACCTTAATTATAGTCTTTTCCAGACAAGTGAACTCAACGGAAGTATATATATATCAACAAACAAAACCATTCTGCTTAATCTGTTCATTTGAACTTGTAAACAATTAGAATACTGAACATTACAATTGGTCCAGACACAGCAACAATAATCAAAAAGGGGTAATACTAATGACTTGGCAAGCATTAAAGAGTATGCGGTGGAAGTAGGTATTTTATATGGCGGATGACACCAATACGCTTAAACACATTTGAAGAAAAAATTATTGATGTTGTCTTCCAAGTTAGTACAGGATCAAAAGTAACACCTAAGTATTTAAAAGACTCAACTCGTTCAATGCTATCACCATTCAAATTAAGTGAAATATCTTTAACTTTAGGAAGAATAGAGTTTGTCCCAAATAACATTTCGTCTTTTTTATATCATGTGTTAGCATTTTCCCTCACTGCTTGTGGGGTCCTGGGCCAACTAGTTAAATATACTAGTACTGTACGTATGATTTCACACATGTTTAAAATGTTGTGGCTTTATTTGTCATTATTTTACAATTTATTTATTTAAAGTAAGCTTTATTTTTATTGTTTTATTATGTAATGCATAGTTTGTTTATATATCTGTGTATTCGTAAGTGTAACTATATTTTATAAGTTCATCTTTAATATCATTTCCAATTTATAAATTTATTAAAATGCAAGTAAAAACTACAATGCCAGCATTTGATTTTTTTTTAAATTATTTTGAAAGAGCAAACAAAATGAAAAAAAATACTTATTATGTGCATAGTAATTTAAAATTTATTTAAGCAATTATTTTTAAAAAGTTTTTTTTTCTATTTTTTGTTGCTAAGGTCACCACCTAAGTTGAGTAATTAAGAATTACAATAAGGATTATCGTCAGGTATTGGAAAATGTGGGGGCTATGATACTTGCATGGGTTTAGTACAGTAATTAAACTGGTGATGATGTCAATATTTATAAAGAAAAGACTAACATTAAGGAGGGAAGTGAGGCATTACCATTTCTTGTGACAGTCATTTGCTCCAATGACAGAATTAGCATTCAACTTAAACCTCCACCATGGTTGAAGTATTACTGGTTGAATAAGGTTCATGTCTACTGATCCAATACTCTTGCTGAATTGCAATATTGTGACCCTGTCAGTGTCTGTAACTTGGCCTTTGTTGGTGTACAGCTTGTGTTTTCTGCTGAAATGTCCTATATCTGCTTCGCTGTCAAATTTGGCTTCATATACCATTTTATTCTTCCATATAGTAAACAAGTCTATGTGCATTCACCTTAAAGACATAAGTGGAAGGATTTTTATACTAAAGCAGCATACCATCAATACACATATAGACTTCTTTAACTAAGCGAGAATGAGATAATGTAGATATTTGTAGAACTTCTGCTACAAATGATTTTAATAGCAGGCCTGTGTATCAATTGGCCTTATATTAATGTAGGGATGTGAAAAGTGCTGTATGTAGGAGGTAGGGGAGGTGGAGAGTAGTGACGGGCAGAGCTATTATGCAAATGCACGGACTGGCTGAGCGCTATAATAGGCAGTGACGAATACAGAGCTATAGGTAGAGATGGCCCTTAATATTTTGAGAGGGAAAGAAAGAAGACTAAGGGACACCAATTTAAGGGGATATGCTTACTTCCCAGTTTCCCCCTCCCCCACCTAAATGTCTGTCATAGATTTACAACAGTTATAGGCACAAATGAGCCAACAGCAATTAGCAGTATCTGGATCTGACCAAGTGATTTACAGTAGGTATTAGGATTGGCAAAATCTAAGGTAGCAACAGGTCAGAAGCTCTAGGTAGGAACTGACAAAAATATTTAATAAGGACTGGCAAAAGCTAAGAGACTGACAGGTCAAGATCTTTCAAAGGAATGGGCTAAAAGCCATAACTTTATTAATGTAAAGTACATACTGTACAACCAAACCACAAAATTTTACACAAAAAAATAAATATAGAGTAATATATATATATATAGAACACATTCAATTTGAATTAATTAACATTGGGATAAAATGTAATGAATTAAAACACAATTAAATTTAAAAAGTAGGATTGATAAGAAAAATTGAATTAAAATTATTTTCACATTTATTTATTAGTAGGGTGGGTCTGAGAGCCTTATAGTAATAGGCATTTATGCTGAAGGAAGGGTTTTAGACAGGCTGAAAGCACTTGGTATAGGCAGTCATACATGGCGATGATTTGTAACTTGACTTGAGCTTTTCTGTCTCCTAATGTAGCAAGTATTGTGTAGAAAGCCACTTTTAGGTACATATGAATGTATTACACATAGCTTTACACAACATTGTTACTTCTTCACTTTATTATTATCCATGTCTTTTTGCTGTGTAGTTATCCTTTTGCAACCCTTATTTCCTGTTTCTTCATCTGTTGTATGATCTCTATTCTAATTTTACTTGCTTTCAATTAAAATTATTTTGATCATTTTAGCAAATTTAGAACAAAGTTATTTGGTGAACATTTCACTTTATTATCTGAAGAAATGTAAAACCTGTTTTCCAGTTTATTTGCACAAATCAAAAGCGTCGGTTCATGCGCATTCATATTTCTAACGGAGTTTTTCGCTTCAGAGAATTACTAGTTCGAACTGTTCTACTTTTTGCAAAAGGGAAAAAATGTGCAACCAATCAGAGCTCAGGAAGCGAACCAACGCTTTTGATTCTCACAAATAAATTCACTTGGAAAAGAAAAGGCTTAATACACGCCAACATTACATCCTGGAATTTCAATACTGTATTGCACAATGGCATGTATTTCTTTTCTTGGAGTACAGTATGTATTATTCTTTCGTATCTGAAACTAATCAGAAAAAACCTCTGGTCACTTGATTCTTGTATCAAATTTTGATATCATTCAGTTCCCTGGTTTTATCCACTACACTCACTGCGTTAGCTACAGCTCCACCCTCAGTAAGAAACTGTTAGTAAATGATCAGACAACACCTACAGTGACACCCGTAGTGCTGAAGCAGCAAGAACCCCTACATTATTGTTCTATAGTTTATCTGTCTTCCATTTGTTTTCCCTTTTAAATAGCTTCACAATATTGAAGTATACTGAAGTAATTTCATCATTTTTTTTTTACATTAAATTTGGTGGCTTGGGATATAAAGATTACTTAATGCTCATATTCAATAAACATGAAATTGGCTGTTTGTGCCTAACTATATCATATACTTGGCTGTTGTGTGTACATATTAGGTAAATGTTGGTTTGGGATGGTGTATTCAATTCAATTCATTATATATTATATTAATATTTAGTATTGTATTATTTATGGATTGTGGCGCTGTCATTATATTGTACTGTATTTGTGTTTGTGTACTGTTGTTGAAATAATGGTAGCCTATGTTTTATGTGATGTTATCCCCCATGAAGCCATAGATGAAAAAACACAGGTTTGTGTTTCCATTTGTGTGAATTGAAATTAGCACAGGCTAAATAAGTTTTTTGTAATAAAACTACATGGCGAATGACTGTGACTTGTGTAGTTTATAATAAAAAGGGTGCTAACCATGAATAAATAGCAACGCAGCAAGTATAAAAAAATCTTCAGCTCTTTTTTCAATTTATAAATACAAACTTGCTCTGCAATAGACATTTACACTGAAATCCAATGTAATGCAGGCAAGGCAGTGGATGATTATTATTATTATTATTATTATTATTATTATTATTATTTCTGATTGGATGTTATAGTGTGTATAGATTGGATAGGATAGTAGCATACAACCAGGATCAGGAATTAGTGGTATAACAGAGCCACTGCCTTTAAAAAAATTTCTTTTTTTTCTTTAAATTTTGCAACCATTTATATGTTCAAATACTATTGCAATTCAGCAGGTATTAAATGCCAGATCCACTGCAATCTTACAGGCATAAAATACTTCAGTTCTTTATTATAGTATAGTGAAAAAAAAGGCCCCCGTGACCATTTTTCGGGGACCAAGGTTTCTCTGCGGATTTGGCATTACTAGGGTATAAATAAAAAAATGAGCGGGGGTGAGCCTCCAGAAAAAGGGCGGAACATGTTTTTTGGCGACCATTTTTAAAATGGCCGCCAAAATCAAGAGAATGGCTCATAACTTTACTTCTACTCCATGAAAAAGGGTAAATATGGTGTCTAACTAATGTTATAAGGGTCACTGAATTCAATTAGACATGTTTCAAAAACCTAGGATGGCAGCCATTTTGAAATTCAAGATGGCTGCCATAGTAATCGTTGAAAATCAAATATTCCAGTATAATTCCACTTCCTGTCGTTGAAAAATGGTAAATATGATAATTACTCTTATGTAATTAGGCTCTCTGAGTCCAATAAGAATAACTTCCATAAGCTAGGATGGCAGCCATTTTGAAATCCAAGATGGTCACCACATAAATTGTCAAAAATCAAATATTTTGGTATATAATTGCATTTCTCCTCTCTTAAAATGTGAAATTTGGGGTCTAATCATATGTTATTCACATCTTTGAGTCCAATGAACATAGTTTCAAAAACCAAGCATGTCAGCCATTTTGAAATTCAAGATGGCTGCCGTAATAATCGTTGAATATGAAATATTCCAGTATTCTACTTCTTATCGTTGAAAAATGGTAAATTTGATGTATTCTCATATGTTATTGGGCTCTGCAAGTCCAATAAGCAGTTTCAATAAGCTATGGCAGCCATTTTAAAATTCAAGATGGCCACCACAAAAATCGTCGAAAATCAAATATTTTAGTATATAATTGCACTTCTCTATAAAAAATGTTAAATTTGGTGTTTAATCATATATGTTATTGAGCTCACTAGTCCAATGAGCATAGTATGAGAAAGCTAGAATGTCAGCCATTTTGAAATTCAAGATGGCTGCCGTAATAATCGTTGAAAATCAAATATTTTAGTATAATTCCACTTCTTGTCCTTGAAAAAATGTAAATTTGATGTATTCTTATATGTTATTGGGCTCTGCAAGTCCAATAAGCATAGTTTCAATAAGCTAGAATGGCAGCCAATCTAAAATTTAAGATGGCCGCCATGAAAATAGTCGAAAATCAAATATTTTGGTATATAATTGCACTTCTCCTTGATAAAAAATGTTAAATTGTGTCCAATCATGTATGTTTCTCAATAGAAATGGTAAATTTGGTGTCTAATGACTTGTTATGGGCAATCTGAGTCCAAATAATGTAGTTTTAAAAGGATGACAACTATACGTTTTCCCAATATGTCTGCCATTATTATGTACACATTTTACCTTACAAAATGCAAAAATAATAAATCTTTAGAAATACTACCACTTATATTATATAATTAAACATAAGCATTTGTTTGATGAACCTGTCTGTCTCTTCGGGATTTTGTTAAACTCTTTACTTGATAAAAACTGGTCCTGTAACTTCATGTGTGTATTAGGTATTTTCTGCCAATTTGATCATCATTCTCTTCATATTTGATCGACTCTTCTTTACTGTATGGGTCATTAACACATATAATGACCTGTCTCTTATACCCATCT